CAAATTTCGGTATAATAATTTTGAAAAAAAAATATCATTCACGAGCTATTTACTTTCTCTTTTTATGAATATCAATTTAATTTGTGAGGAATTTTTTAGATAAATTTGTGATGTGAATAATTCAATTCAATTCCTTGGAGGAATTTTTTAATAATATAAACTCGTTATAACAATTTTGGAAGAAAAAAGGCCATTCTTACCATCGATCACGAGCTACTTACTCTTTCCCTTTTTTTATAAATATCGATTGCGAGGGATGGAATCCTCTCTCAGTTGAATTTCCGTGTAAGCAAAATAATCTTGGAAAAAAAAAAAAAGAAAAAAAAGAAACGTCGAATCGTAGCCGGAGGAGTGAATCTGAAGGGTCACGCACACTGGTTGAGCCTGCGCTTCAAGGACCCGAAGGTGGAATCGGCGTTCCACAACGCCGAGGAGGCGTTCTCCCCCCTGTCGTTGTTGGGGGGCCCGTTGGTGATGGTCTGTTCCGCTCCTGTTTGGAGGTATCAGCCGTGGGGGCCTTTCACGTGGGGCGGGATCGGGGTCGTGGTGCTGTTCGCCGTTGTGTTAGCCGGCGCCACCTGCCTGGGCAGCTCCATCAAAGCCATGTGGCTGAGAAGAGCCCTCGCCTCGCTCATGGTCTTCTCCCTCGGCCTTTTCCTCCTCCTCGATATGGTGCGTCGTTTTAAAACTCTGCCGAAATCGTTGCCCAATTATTCAACGAGAATTTTCAGAATTGGAAAATTAAAAACAAAATTATTTTCCACACAGTTCAACTGCGTGGTGGTCGACGAAGCTATCCCGTCCCTAAACTCGACCACGATAACACTGTCGACGAGGTGCCCGTATCCCTCCTACTACTCGTACATCGGCGTGTTGACGCTGGTGGCGACCTCGATGCCGACCTACATATGCTACCTGGGCAAAGCGTACCTGATGTATACGATCGCGGGCTTCCAATGCTTCATCAACATCTGGCTGCTCGGCTCGAAGCTCGACTGGGAGGACCACGCCTCCTCCCCCCTCCAACCGTCCGCGGTTCCCTCGAAATTCTGCCTATCCGTCACCCTGCTCACCGTCGCCACCTCCTTGGTCATCGTGTCCAGATACGTGAGTTTTGGAAACGAATAATAAAATGGAATAAATGGAAAAGGGAGGAAGAGAAAATCGCGATGGGGGGGAGGGGAAAAATTCGATATCCTCGAACGGGTGGAAAGGAAAAATAAATATCGAGGCTCGGTCGAAACCACCTCTCGAACAAATTCATCAAAGTCGAGGGCGTGCTTGGCAGCCCCCGACAGTCGAGGATCCATCTTTCATCCCCAGTTCTGTCGACACTCCTCCTCGACGAGGATCGCAATTAGAGCTTCGAAGAACCTCTCTCTTTTCCAGAGAGAGAGAGAGAGAGAGAAAATAATCCGAGCTTCGAAAAATTTCCTCGTCGATGAATATCTTTTTTTTTTTATTAAAAAAAACCATCGACCTTTCGACCCGACCGGTTGAATATACATATATATATATATATAAAAAGGTTAAGTTAAGGGTAAAGTTAAGTTGACAGCACAGCACAGTCGTTTCGACGACTCGATGCTTTTGTCGAATCGATGCTCGATCGATCGAACGATCCTCCACAGGCGGAGAAGTCGAGGAGGATGTTGTATCTACGGGGGAGGGAGGTGGTGGCGCAGAGGGAGAGGGCGGCCGACATGAAACGAAGGAACGGCGCCCTCATATACAACATCCTTCCACCCCACGTGGCCGCCTATTTCCTCTCGAGGGCGAGACACCACGACGACCTGTACAGCCAGAGCTACGCCGAGGTGGGCGTCCTGTTCGCAAGTATGCCCAACTTTGCCGACTTCTACAGCGAGGAGAGCATCAACAACCAGGGCCTCGAGTGTCTCAGATTCCTGAACGAGGTCATATCCGATTTCGACGCGGTGAGTTTTTCGAAGAAAAATATTGTTCAACTCTCACTCTTGAATTTTGAACTCGTCGTTCGAGAGGGAACAACATTTCAACCCTACTTTTGTGTTTACGAGGTTACCGATCGAGCTAGAATTCCCTAGAATTCCCTAGAATTTCCACCGGTATAAAAAGGATAATTGGACAGCCAATATTAGAGAGTTTGTTGTATTCGGGATATGCTTAAGATCGACTTTGGAGGATCTTCGATTCAGAAAGATCCGAAACAATCAGCTCGAATTTGGAAAGAGCACGCCTCGTCTTTTTGCCAGATCCTGGACCAGAACAAATTCAAGGACATAATCAAGATCAAGACGATTGGGTCGACGTACATGGCCGCGTCCGGGATCACCGAGTCGGCCGAGCCGGGGGAGGACGCCCCTCGATGGGGCCACTTGTCCACCCTGGTCGAATTCGCCCTCGAGCTGAAGAAAGCGTTGTCGAGCATCAACGAGCAGAGTTTCAACCACTTCGTCCTCAAGATGGGGATCAACCACGGCCCGGTCACAGCGGGGGTGATCGGGGCGAGGAAGCCCCACTACGACATCTGGGGGAACACCGTGAACGTGGCGTCCAGGATGGAGAGCACCGGGAAAGTAGGCTGCATCCAGGTAAAAAAAAAAAAAACTTCTTTCTTTCCTTTCTCGGAGAAAATCACGGAGAAAATCGGTCGCAGGTCACGGACGAGACCCGCAAGATCCTCGAGCCGTTCGGCTTCGGCTTCGAGCAGCGCGGCCTGGTGTTCGTGAAGGGCAAGGGCCAGCTGCTCACCCACTATCTGGTTTCCAAGGACGGCGTCTCGTTGAACCTGGACAGCGACCTGCCGGTCGAGCCCACCCATCCGATCATCTATCAGTAGGGGCTGGGACGACGACGCTCGAAGGCTCTAAAAAAAAAAGAAGAAGAAAAAACTTCGAAGGAGGAGAGGGGACCCCTCTCTCGATAAAAGATCTCCCTCGAGCGGAGAGGTGGGGAAAACTCGGAGGAGGAGGAGGAGGAACCGAGAAACTTGGTTGGCTGATTGGGATCGTTTTGGAAGGCCGCCACGATTCTTCACGAATAATCAAACGATCGTTGTTTTTAACCTCGAGGAGTGTCCTGGAAAAAAATGTCAGCCAGAAAAAGAAGAAAAATTCTGTCGCAAACCGTGGCCTGCTATTATCGTGCATCGAGCACGAAAAACAGGGTACAAAATCGAAGACGTAACACAAAATTAGGATTAGAAAGACGACACTCGAGGGGAGACGAATAATGTAATGTAAAAAAACGAACGAAGATTGACTTAGCTGGAGGAAAAGAAATCTATCTATATGATTGAAGCGTCGTTCGTAGTAGTAGGCTGGCTTCGAGCAACAACTCGGAGTTTCGGAGTCGAAAACGAAATTGAACCGAGGAGAAGAAAAGGATAGGAGAAGAGGAAAATCGATCGAAGAGTCCAGTCGAATCTTGCATATCTAGGATTAAATTTAATTAGCCTTGAAAAACTAAACTCGAGAATGAGAAACGGTGTCTAGTCGATCGATCCTAGCCTAGAATCGATGATACGTAAATTAAGAAAGTGTGTGTGCGTGTGTGTGTGTGTGTGTGTATAATCGTTGTGGCAGGATCACTACGCGATCGTCGACTCTATTTTTCTAGATCCCACGACGGGTGGGGACGCGTGGCCAATCAGGGGACAGGTCTTTTTCCTAACGCGTGGCTGTAACACAGACAGAATCGAGATGTATCCCTTCACGCTAGCGCGTTCTCTCGGCCGTTCCTTCGAACTAATGTAATCGACACGTGCCACGACTATGTGCTTTCTTACGATCTCAATCTCTCGTCGTTCATTCGCACGATGCCCGAGCGAGATTACATACGCTTCTGCTAAAAAATCTTGCGACACGTTCTTTTTTTCTTTTTTCTGGAACGATTAAGCGTTGCAAATGTCGTGAGATTTTCGAGCGGCAGTGTACGAGTAGAGTAGAGTAATATTTCGAACGTCTTCTCAAGGGGGATAAATAATTTTTTTGCTCCTTTTTCTCGAGGAATTTCAGAGTCTAATCGTTGTGTGATGATTTTTCGACATCGATCGACATACAATTAAATTAATCGAACCCGATTTTTCGCGGTATTGTAATTGTTACGATAATTAAATTATATTATCATGTGTAAATTGATCGAGTCGCGGTGTACGAGATCGATGTGTAGATAATCGACTATCGTCGAAAAAAAAAGAAAGAAGAAGAAGAAGAAGAAGAAGAAAAGGAATATATTCCAAAATTATCGAAAAATTGAAAGTAAAAGAATTGTTGTGTAAAAAAAAAAAAAAAAAAATACTCGTAGAAGCTCTAAGGAAAAAAAGAAAAAAAGAAAAAAAAAACTTTGTCGATTACTAGAGCTCTGTTCTCGTAGAATTTTGAAGAGGATGTATATATATATATGTATATAAAGAAAAAAAAAAAAAAAGAAAAAAAAAAGAAAAAAAATTAAATGAAATTCAGAAAGGAAAACGAAAAAAGAAAATGGAATGGAAAAATGCGTCAGGAGAGGGAAAATTTTCAATGAACGTACTGTTGCAACTGTCGCAAGATCGATCCAGCCGATTATCGATTGTTATCCATCCTCTTGCTTTTACCTCGTCAACGTTTGATACCGTTTTTTATTAGAAAAAAAAAAAAAATAAAAAGAAAAAAACTTTAACAATCTTCCCCACAAACGACGAACGAACCCATACGATTGTAGAATAGAAAATTTTCATTTTCTTCTGCGACGGTTAAACGGTAAGACGCGACTGCGATCCGAAAATAAGGGAGACGAGAAGAGAGCGAATAAAATCCTGTCTAACTCTGAATGTTTAAGAGAGAGAGAGAAGAAAAAAAAAAAAGAAAAAAAACTGTCGTTTTAAATTAATTAAGAAGCATCATCGAATCGAGAAGAAAGGAGGAGAAGGAAGGAAGAAAGGAAGAGAAAAAAGGGAGGTTGGAAATTTACTGTTCATTACGTGGTCACGTGCAGAATGTTCTCGTCATCGTTTGAACTATTACTAAAAATATCACTTGTTTATTAGCGAGATTTCGCCAGGAAAACTCTGGACGAACCTGCCTCTAGTTTCGATCCGACTATATTTTTTCTGCAAGCAGATCCGATTTGTACGAGGGTAGGAAGAAGTTTCTTAAGAGCTTAGATCCGATTTAATTGCGAGCGTACACGATGAGATTTCACCAGATTTCACCACCCATCAAAAGTCGAGCATCATCGAAACATTGATCTCTAAGATCAAATATAAATAAGACGATTCGAAATTCTTCCGATTTCTTCTTTTTCTTCTCCTTTATTTTACAAAAAGTATAAAGATTATATTTCTCGTCTTATTTTTAGACCAGAATTTTGGAATTTTTTTTGGAAAACACAATCCTGCTTTTGTTGTACATCGTTGTACGGATTTCGATAGAGAAGAGAAAAATAAAATTTAAAATTTATACCCTTATTTTGTCCTCCTGCAACTGGTGGGCTTCTGGTGAAACGTCTGGTACGTCGTCGTCCGTAGGACGATTCCACGGGAACGTAGACTATAATTCTCGAACACGATGTAATATAATTTATTTTTCTACAGTTTCAGTCGAGCCGAGTTAATTAATAATAATAAATCGTGAGACGAAGATGACTCGAGTACGTGAAAAGAAAAAAAAAAAGAAAAAAAAAAAGGAAAAAAAAAAAAAGAAAAAGAAAAAACGCGTGGTGTTGGGATTTAATCCTTTCGTCGGTGAGTTATTCATGATCCGATTTTATAATTCGCAACAAACACTTTTAAACTGGATAGT